ATGAGAAGGGAGCACTCACTGGAGAAGACCCTGATGCTGGGAAAGATTGAAAGTCAAAGAAGATGGGGACGGCAAAGGATGAGATGGTTAGACAGTGTCATAGATGCAACAAACATGAAATTGAGCAAACTTCAGAGGACAGCGGAAGACCGGAAGGCCTGGCAAGATCTGGTCCATGGGGTCGCGAACAGTCGGACTCGACTGTGTGACTGAACAACAACAACATTCAACGAAATTAACAAAATTTAGAAACTAAAGAACTAGACCTCACCTTAGACAAATTTAGTATATAGTTTAAGACTCATTTTTATCTGTACTATATAAATTAGAAGAGAAGAGATTGGATTTATACCCCGCCCTTCACAACCCGAGGGAGGCTCAGAGCGGCTTACAAACTCCTTTCCTTTCCCCTCCCCTCCCCACAACAGACACCCTGTGAGGTAGGTGGGGCTGAGAGAGCTCTTTCAAGGACTGCTCTTGAGAGAACAGCTCTTGTCAGAACTATGGCTTGCCCAAGGTCATCCAGCAGCTGCAAGTGGGGAATCAAACCCTGTTCTCCCAGATTAGAGTCCGCGCACTTCACCACTACACTTAACCGTGCACGTAACCACTTTATATTACATGCTCAAAATATGTTTACAATAGTGAACTAAACTGCCGTTATATATTAACAAAATACTTATATGTATGCGATATAAATGTAAACACTTTGATTGCTATGTAACTATCCAACATTTTGACACAAAACATTTTGACACACTTTTTTTAAAAAAGTGTGATTTAAAGGACAAACTATCCTTCTTCAGTCACAATAATTGTGCATTGGAGAAGGTGGAGAGAGAACCTCAGAAAGACCGAGCCGATAGGGAAGTCTCACTGGCGCCCCCTGCCTTTGAAAGTTTTGTATACGTCCCTCAGATGGAACCTTCTGGGAATCTAAATCCAGACACAAGTCGTCGTCCCCCCCCACACACACAAACACTGGGGGTGGTTCTTTGCTCAACATCAGAACTGTCTTCCATGCCAGACTGTCTTTTAACACTTGAGTCCAAGAAGCTGCTAAGGAGTAGAGCTGTCAACCTCCAGGTGGGGCCCGGAGATCTCCTGCTATTAATTTTGAGACCCAGTTTGGAGTAGTGGTTAGGAGCGCGGACTCTAATCGGGGTTTGATTCCCCACTCCTCCACACTCAGTCAGTTGGGCGACCTTGGGTCAGTCACAAGTTCTCTCAGGAGCTGTCCTCTCAAGAGCACTCTCAGCCCCACCTACCGCACAGGGTGTCTGTTGTGGGGAGGGGAAGGGAAAGGAGATGGTAGGCAGCTCTGAGACTCCGAGTGAAGGACGGGGTATAAATCCAACCTCCTCCTCTACTTCTTGTCACAGTTCTGTTAGAGCTGTTCTCTCAAGGGCAATTCTTTCAGAGCTCTCTCTCTCAGCCCTACCTGCTTCACAGGGTGTCTGTTGTCAGGAGGGGAAGGGGAAAGGGGATTGAAAGCCGCTCTGGTACTGAAGGGCGGGGTATAAATCCAATCTCTTATTCTTCTACAACTGATACAGGGCTTTTTTTGTAGAAAAAGCCCAGCAGGAACTCATTAGCATAATAGGCCACACCCAACAGCAGGAACCCATTAGCATATTAGGCCACCCCCATGACAGCACAGCTCATTGGCATATTAGGCCACACCCCCATGTTACCAGAAGTGTGGTCATCGAGCCACACCCACCTTTTGCTTCTTATTCTGTTTACCTTGTTTGTGGTCAAAACCCAGGGCCTTTTTTTGTAGCAGGAACTCCTTTGCGTGTTAGGCCACACACCACCACGCCCCCGGCTCAGGGGGTAAGGCCCGAGCGGCTTACAGCCGCTGGGCCTCGCCAATCTCCCTGCCGCCTCCTCCCCCCCGGCTCCGAAGCGAGGCCTGAGTGGCTTGTAGCCGCCGGGCCTTGCCGGTCTCCCCCCTCAAGTGTCACCCTCCCTCCCCAGCAGTGGTAGCGAGGCCGGCTGGCCCGCCAAGCTTCCCCCTCCCTCCCTCCACAGCAGCGGCATCGGTGAGGCCAAGCCTTCTCCCGCCCTCCCGTCCCCTGTGGTGGTAGCGGCGAGGCAGTTCACAGTGTATTCCCTGCGCATGCACAGGGGACGCTCTTTTACTTTTGGGGGGATTTAAATATCCCCCCAATATTTTTTTCACCTTTTCAGACTTTTGTGCACACCTGGGGACTGCCCCAAGCGTGCAGAAAAATCTCCCTGCCCCTAGGTGCCCCCGATGTGCGGATTTAGATATCCACATGCAGGGGGAGCCTTTCACTATTAGTATATAGATTGAAGTCCCTCCCCAAACCCCGCCCCCCCCAAGGCTCCATCCCCCCAAATCTCCAGGTATTTCCCAACCCAGAGCTGGCCACCCTAGGTTGGGACCAGTGTTCCCTCTAAGCTGAGTTAGCGTGAGCTAGCTCAGTTTTTGAGCCTCCAGCTCACACATTTGTGTCTCAGCTTGGGAAGGAGAGCTCCGGAGCAAACTTATTTACGCAGTCGCGAAATCGCTCGCTCACAACTTTAATGCCAGCAGCTCTCAAAGTAGAGGTGTTTTTGCTCACAAGGCTCCACAGCTTAGAGGGAAGCATTGGTTAGAACCAACTCAACGACTGGCACAGGCAGTCAGGGCCAAGAGCAGATTCGGGCCAAGTTTTTGAAAGACAGGTGTCAAAGCAGCAGCACAAGGCTTGGAGACTTCCAGCTGGTTGTCGCTTAGGCAACGGTGATCTTCAGAGGCTTTACGAATGCCGGGGGGGGGGGCACATGAGACAGAGTGGATCTGGGCCGTCTTGTTTTCTTTCCAGTTTGCTGGTGAGAAACCAAAAAAGCACACTCAGCTTCGTTACATTAAGATAAAAGGAAATCAATGCACTTTTGACTTGTGTGGGCTGGAGTCTCCTTGGAACCCGTGCAAATTTCTCTCCACTTTTGGTCCCTGCCTGCCCGGCTGGTATCTGACAGCAGAAGCACAAGGAGGAGGAGAAGCAGGAGAAGAGGAGGACAAGAAGAAAAGGGAGGGGAGGAAGAGGAGGAGGACAAGAAGAGAAGGGAGAGGAGGAGAAGCAGAAGAGGACAAGAAGAGAAGGGAGAGAAGGAGAGAAAGAGAAGCAAAAGAGAAGGGAGAGGAGGGGAGGGGAGGAAGAGGAGGACAAGAGGAGAGGAGGAGAGGCAGAAGAGAAGCAGAAGAGGACAAGAAGAAGGGAGAGGAGAGGAAGAGGAGAAGCAGAAGAGGACAAAAAGAAGAGAAGGGAGAGGAGGGAGGAGAGGAAGAGGAGGAGGACAAGAAGAGAAGGGAGAGAAGCAGAAGAGGACAAGAGAAGGGAGAGGAGGGGAGAGGCAGAAGAGGAGGAGGAGGACAAGAAGAGGAGAAGGGAGGAGGAGGAAGAGTAGTAGATGGAGTAGAAGTAGAAGAGGAGCAGGAAGAGGACAATAAGAGTAGAAGGAAGAGGAGGGGAGAAGAGGAGATTGGATTTATACCCTGCCCTTCACTACCCAAAGGAGTTTCAGAGTGGCTCACAATCTCCTTCCCCTTCCCCTCCCCACAACAGACAGAACCGATTTCACACACACATTTTGGACCCGTCCTATTGTCTGGAAACACTGCAGAATCGATTGGCTGTGCAGACTTTTTTTGGGAAAAGTTTCTCTGGCGGTAGCTGCCACCACGGCCCAAAGGTCTTCGCTGCGTGACTGTGGGTAAGCTGCGGCAGCCATTTTGTGCCTCGCTCCAGCACCTGCGGCAGCCATTTGTTGACCGTGGGCCGAAAAAGGTTGGGGACCCCCCCACACACACACACAGCAGAAGCAGGAGGAGAAAAGAACCACAGACCGGACAAGTGGCGGATGGTAATTTATTGAAACAGACGTTGTTTCCAACTTCACAGGGGAGAGGGAGGCGGCTCCCCCCTTGTGGGTTCAGCGGTAATTCCCCCCCTTCCGTAAAAGATCCTTTTCGTTCCCATAACTTATAAACATGATTTACACTGAAGTCTCTGGCCGCGCAGGGGGGGAAGAAGGACATGCAACTGATCTCCCTCCCCGTCGATATCTCCGCAAGGGTTGGGAAAAAGGCTGGCGTCTCTCGGTCTGGTCCCATGGAGCTTCTGCGTGCAGCTTCACGGGGGTGTGTGTGTGTGTGTGTGAGGGGCGGGCAGAGAGGGAGGGAGGGGATCCAAGCAGAAACAGACCCGACGCCGGGAGGGCGGGAGGAGAGGGTGGGCAGCAACTTCCGTTTGGGACCCCCCCCCTCCCCAAAAAAACGACACCGGGGCTATGAAATTTTTTAAAAAATAATAATAGCGGGGGGGGAGGGAGAGGAACAGTTAGGGGGTCAGCCCCCCCTCTCCCCACCCCAAGAACATAGCAGGAAGGGGAATACGGGCTGTAGGAGTGAAGGGCGTTGCAAAGGAGTTAACAGTTACTCAAGACCCTTTCGCAAAACCGTCCAGAGTAGCCTGTGTCCCTTCAGGTTGTCTGCGGGGAAGGGGGGGGGGAGAGGGAGGAGAAGAAAAAAGGTCTAGGGAACCCCCCCTTCTTTTTCCCGCTGCCACCACCAAACTCCTCCCATGCTAAACCCCCCTCCCCCATTGCACCCTTCCAGGCAAAACCTCCCTGCCCTACGGCCACAGATAATCCCTAGGAAGGGGGGGGAACGCACTTCCCCCATTGCCAAAGCAACACCACCCCCTAGTGGCACCAGGAGGCAGCACAGTTTGCAGACATTGAACCGTACCCTGGGCAGAGAAGTTCCAGCAGGAGACAGGGACGTGGGAAACGGGGGAGACGCCCCCTTGCCACGCCCCCGCTCGGATCCCTGCCTCCTCCGAGTTCCCTGAGAACCAGCTAGCTGCTCCTGCCGGGAGGAGGGAAGGCGGCGGTGGGGATGTCCCCACGGCGCCCACCCGATGAGTCCCGACCCCGCTTCCCTCCCACCACCCCACGCACCCCTAGGGAGGCCACTGCCGGCCAAACAAGGATGCGGGTGCAAAGTGAGGCGTGCTGAATCGGCAGGGGGAAGAGAGAGAGAAAGAGAGTGCGAAGGGAGGTGGGCGGGCTTAGCCGATGGTCAGTCCGAAACCGCACTGGAATTTGTTCTTGCGGTGGTTGAGGAAGGCCCCCATGGCCAGCGTGAGGGGCAGGGGGAGGAGCTTCTTTTCCAGCGCTGCCCCGACGATCCAGTTGCTGTCGACAGAGCCTGAGAAAGGGGAAGAGCAAAGACGGACACGGTCACGAGACGGAGAACGGAGCAGGCGCTTATGGATCTAGAGGAACCGGAGGGGAGGGGGATCATACGGGTGGGTGGCCCAGAGAATTTATTACTTATTCTCTGATCGGCACACAACATTTACGTCCTGCCTTCCTGCCCTTACAAGGGCCGCCAACGGTTCACAACGTGCAAAGATGAAATCACATTTTAAAACTATTCAGATCAACCCTCCCCGGCCAAACATTTGAACAATTAAGAAACAGTTATTAAAATACCTAAAGAACATAAAAACAATCATCAAAATGTTGGTGAGGAAAGGAGGTTCGATAGAGTAACAGTGATTATCGTAATGCATTGTGCAGAGCATAGCCAGGAGCAATGCTCCCTCTAAGCCAGTTTGGTGTAGTGGTTAAGTGCACAGACTCTAATCTGGGAGAACCGGGTTTGATTCCCCATTCCTCCACTTGCACCTGCTGATGTGACCTTGGGTCAGTCACAAGCTCTGGCACAGCTGTCCTTGAAAAAGGGCAGTTTGTGTCAGAGTTCTCTCAGCCCCACCCACCTCACAGGGTGTCTGTTGTGGGGAGGGGAAGGGAAAGGAGTTTGTAAGCCGCTCTGAGACTCCAAGTGAAGGGCGGGGTATAAATCCAATCTCTTCTTCTTCTAAGCTGTGGAGTCTTGTGAGCAGAAATCGTACTCTGTGAGCGACTGACATTAAAATTGTGAGCGGGCGATTTGGCTACTGCATAAGTTAGTTTGCTCTGGATCCATCCTTCCTGAGCTAAGGGAAAAATGTGTGAGCTAGAGGCTAAAAAACTATGGGCTAGCTCACACTAACTCAGCTTAGAGGGAACGCTGGCCAGAGGTTCTCGCTCTTTAGCGTTATGCAGCACTAGGTGGCAAGCTAGACAAATTTTTGAGACAACAGACGTTTCAGAGGTGGTTTGCCATTGCCTGCCTCTGCCTAGGGACCTGGTATTCCTTGGAGGTCGCCCTTCCAAAGACTACCCAAGGCCGACCCTGCTTAGCTTCTGGGATCTGACAAGATCAGGCTCGCCTGGGCTATCCAAGTCAGGGTTATCACTGGGGTATTGCTGAGCAAAACAAAGTCTTCACCCGCTGGTGGGATACAGCAACAGATGGGGACAGAGGAATCTATTGAGATATATGTCAGAGTGATAGAGGTAGCAAGCAGTTACTATAGATCAGTTTGATCTGTTTGTCAGACCTAGCTGTCATGCTAGTAATCATGTAATTACAGCCAGGTGTTTTCTAGCAGGTGTTGCTCTTTCAGGTCTTGTTAAGAGTTAGTGATTACATCACCTTGTTTGAGATTGGCTGGGGTATAGCATAATAGCTATCAGCTTGGTAAGCTGGTGGGGACTCAGTTCTCATAGGCTAAGGCACGACATGCTGTTCAATAGCCTGTAAATATCTCTGTATATATTCACCTTTATAACTATGTAAACTCTCTGTGCACCTTCATAACTGGTCAGTCTCCCGCTTCTTATTTACAATACCCAATAGAATCTCCCTGGGAGAGAGTTCCAGAGCTCTGGTGCCACGACGAAGAAGGCCCTGTCCCAAGTTGCATCTTCAGAGGACCCAAAGCAGGTCCTCTGAAGATGACCATAACAGTCGGGTAGGTTCACACGGGGATCAGGCGGTCCATCAGGTACGCTGATTGCAAACCATACAAGGTTCTGAAGGTCTAGACCAGCACCTTGAACTAGCATAGCCCGGATTCCTTAAACAAAGAGGAAAAGAGCCAAATCCCCCAATCCCGTGCATCCCCACTCCCCGCCATTTGTCCGCCCCTGGCCGGAAAACGGGATGGAGACTTCGTACCTCTGAATACCAGGTTGGCCTTCGGTAGATCTAGCTGGTAGCCGAACGTTACGCTCGTGTCCTGCATGCGAGCGCTGGCTTCGAACTCCACACCCACCTGCAGCTGGAGGAACCAAGGGACGGGAGGAGGGTGAAGGGAAGCTCTGAGCGGTGAGCACCTTGGCAGCCCCTCCCCACCCGCTAGTTTGGACTTCCACTCCCCGCGCCCCCCGCCCCAGGACTAACAACAGACCCGGACACCTTCGGAGGTTTCATAAAGAAGCCGCTGAACAGCTCGTGAGACACATTTGGGCTAGTGCCATGGAAATTCGCTGGACGACCTCGGGCCACAGAATTGTAGAATCACAGAGTTGGGAGGGGCCATACCCCCTGCTCCACGCAGGACCAGCCTGGAGCAGGGGTGGCAAACATGCAGCCCGGGGGCCGGATCAGGCCCCCCTCCCGGGAGGGCTTCCATCAGGGCAGCGGTGAAAGTGGCCATCTCCTGCTTCCAGTTCTGCTGCTGCTGCATCATAGCTTGCTTCGCCAGACCCTCTTAATCGCTCAGCCATTTGGTGTTTTAAGCAGGGTCCTAGACGAGGCTCCCTCTAAGCTGTGGAGTCTTGAGAGCAAAAACTGTACTTTGTGAGCTGCCGGCATTAAAGTTTTGAGCGAGCGATTTGGCCGCTGCAATAAATTAGCTTGCTCTTGAGCCCTCCTTCCTGAGCCGAGAAAAAAAATCTGTGAGCTGGAAGCTAAAAAAACGGTGCGCTAGCTCACACTCACTCAGCTTAGAGGGAACACTGGTCCTAGACTCGGAACTCTGAGCATGAGATTTCTGTGGCGAAGGTCAATAAATCAAAAGTAGGTTTGCCGCTTACAGAGCTAAATGTTTTAAGCATGTTCTTACTTTAAGTAAAAAAAGAAATCTTTGTGTTTGTGTCCTTTATAAAGTTTATATCTCCGCTACCTGGCGTTACATTTTAATTTTTTAATTTTTTTTTAAGTACCCAAAGGTACACTTTTATTTTTATTTATACACTACAGACATAAATGAAAACAAACAACATAAAACTACCACTAACAAACATTAAACATTAAACACATAACAGGAGGCTTATTCCATCTCCTATCCTTCAATTATCTATTTGTTACATTTCTAATCTCATTATCTATTTTACTAGCTTATCTTTTCTGCGTACATTTTATGACACACATGGCCCGGCCCAACAAGGTTCTCATTTATGTCAGATCCGGCCCTCGTAACAAATGAGTT